TTCTGTTTGTTTGCCCAACAGAAAATTTTGTCATTCGCCATGTCGGCGTAGGAAAATGTTCATCAATTGATCGTAACGATGCGTACGTTACGTCTCGCGCTGATGAAATTAAACTGCCAAAATGTACATTTTATTTCCGCGGACAATTTGTACGAAAGGGAAAAAAAAATGAAGCTCTCTTATATTGCACTAACGTCGTGCTATAGCGAGATAGGTTTGCGCACAACACGATAATCGTGTTTGCCTGGACACGAGATATTTTGATCTTTTGTTATTTTTAAATTTTTCTCGGCAATTAGTTAAATCGGTTATATTAAAAATTAATTAATACCAGTACCGAGAAGGGAGGGGAGGTGATGTGATGTCTTGTGTCTTGACAAACACGTACGACGTACGATTGTATGTACATCGTTTACGCTTTCCTTCCTCATGAATCGGCGTTTTCGCCTGTGCTTTATCCCGTCCATTTTTTATTCATGTTTAAAGAGAGCGCGGATGACGAGCACTGAAAGAGCGAACTTCTTATCTTAACATAGGAAACATGCGTGATCGTGTTTATGCGATAACAATCATCAGAAGCTCGCAGAAACATTCGTACATATCGCTACATTATTGCGAGAAGAAAACAAGAATACTATTTCCATGTGTTCGAAAATTATGCGAATTCCTGTTGCTTCCGCGAAGTAGAAGGGAAGGGGGCACATTTAGATAGTAAAATTTTTTAGATTTTTTAAAATAGATTTTTACTGGTTAAATCTATATTGGTTAAGTTTCAGCAATTTTTTAAAATATGTTAATAGTGTAACTTGAAATTTTGTTACTTAGTACGTGGCAAGACTCGATATTTGATACGGATTAAATATGATCATGAAGGAATGTTTTCGATGTTTCAAAGAAATGTTTTGTTAAAAATGACAAAAGTCATCTTCCGATACTTAGTATTCAAATTGTGGGAATCTGACGAGATGTTTAATGTACCCCCTTTTCTCCGATCATGTTCGCATTCGATAAACGTTCTGCGTAACGAATAACACATGCTAAAGGGAAACGTACAGTCTTATAGCCAAGTTTTCTAGGTAGAATAATTATACTCGTTTGTATAAAGTGATTCATTTGTGATCGAATGTGACAGCAGTGGAACCAATTAATTTTAAGCGCGCTTCCCGTCATGAACGCACTTTCAAGCAAAAGGAAAGCAATGCGTTCGCATGTAATAAAGAAGCCGACAATTGTCGAGGTACAAGCTTAATTATTAACGCGAGAATCTATTTTTTGGTGATTCTCAAATTACCGGAGAAAGAAACTCTACGGATGTGTGATTTCTGGAAGAATTTTTTTCCATCAGTATTAAAGTCTTGCCTTTCTACTCAATACAACGAAAAAAATCTTGTACTCGAGATGCGTAAAAAGTTGTATGTAACACGAGTCGCGTAAATGTACCTCGGAACGTATCGGAGGATGTCTGATCAATCGATTTTTACGTCGGTTAGCGTAATTTCTACACTGGTGACTGGAGAAATCGAAAATGATTTTTATGGGTTATTGTGCACTGGAGCGAGAGCGGTCCTTTCAGGGTAACACATCGCGAATTTTACGTTCACGAGGAGAAACGTACAATTTGCGATAATGCCAATTTGATTTCGTCAGGATGATATTAATTTTCTTCCTTCTTTAACCCCTCTCTTTCTCCCTTTTTTTATAATAATAGCCATATTGTCGTTTTAGATATATGCGGCGTATATATTACGAAAGATGTTATATTACGATAAAACTACAGCGTAAATCTTAAGCGTCGATAGATTTCTACAATTGTAATTTAAGGCATAATTTAAATAAACAATTTGACGGTAAATGAACTTTAATCTAATTTAATGTGCCCTTCATATACGTTTTTTTTTTCCTTCAAATCCTTTATGGAATAATGCGAGAGATTTCTCTTTCACACTGCTTATTAAGGGTTATTGATAAAAATTATAATATTATAAATACGAACAAGACATGAAGCGGTAACAAGAACAACAAACTCGTATAACGTAGACACCAGACATCTCATGCAGTCAAACGAGAAGCGAAAAATAAACATGTCCTTAACTTAGCAAGCAATCTTATTTATTTTGGTACTCGATAAAGGTTCCGATAGTCGTATATTACAATATTGAGCCAGTTTTGCAAAAATTGTAATAGCGGTATACTAATGATATATAATAATGTAATAATGGTAATAATATTTTCTTCTCCTAAAGTAAACCTAAACGCAATGTATTCTATTAATAGTATGTGACACTGTGTATTATTTGTAGTACCTAATTAACTTAAACTTAAATCGTGGGGCCGTAGCACAACGTGCAATACGATCACGTAATGCATTTCATCCGTGTTAAAATCGTCTTACATCGCTTTCTTCGATTCGCGTGGATCTTATCCCCTTCCATACCGTCTCTTCGAAGAATAATGCATAAGTGAGATCCTGATAAAGAGTAACCAAGCATCAAGATATGACTTATCAAAGATTAAGAAATATTTCATCATGTGTCGTATGCTCCTTAAGAATTAAACATGCTATTTTCAACCCGATATTGAATCGCTTTGCGCCTCACTTAGATACATGGTTTTCCCTATTTTTGAATCTATACATCACATACAACGTAAAAAATAATCTTTCATTCCTTTTATTTCTTTCTTCCATTTTTTCATCCCTTTTATTATTCATTTTCCTTTTATTATTTTTTTTTCAGTTGTTCATAAGCGCGATCAAGTTAAGATAATGTATTTACGAAAATAAATAATACAGATTTCTCTGGAATATTGATTGAATGATACATACCATAAGAAGGAACAAACGCATAGGAAAGATACCGAATAAAACGATATTTTTATGTTTCGTCAAATTGAAAAGACAATTGAATGAAGAAAACACAAAAATCTTCGTTTTGTTCACTTTACTCTTAGATCTTATTCTTTTGCATTGTTACTTTACATTTCATACGTAAACGAGTAAAGTGTACAATACACTATCAATATACAAACATTGCTGGTAATTGACGAAATCACCTAAGATTTTTAAATAGAAAATATCCCAACGCGTATATCATTCGCGTATGCGTTGGTGTAATTTTAATTCGAAGAAGACGTTGGAAAGTGCACTTGCTACTTACAAAAACAAATTACGATAATTTATATCAATCAGGACGCGAAATACAACTTTGCACTAATTCATCGCGCGCGAGTTACCGTGACATTTCTTTTTTTTTTTCTTATTTCAAGAATAATAGCGGTTTCATGTAAAGTGCACAGCAAAACGCGAGATTTACCGTTGCTTCTCTCGCAACTTCTACGAGTAATCAAAGTTCTATTCGCATCTACGTATAAGACTTCAAGTGCCCGATAGCGAAAAAATTGTCAAGAGAGAGCGTAGTAAACGCGCACAGACGAAACTATGGCGATCCTGCCTTCAATTTCTTCCCTTGAACGCGTGCAGCGTATTTATCGGCGAGTTTTACTTCTAACAGGAAGTTCCTTAACAGGATTCCTTAATAGGTAGCCTTAATAAGAGCTTTTGCTCACTATTTTT